CGTGAATTTTCTTTGTGTCCGAGACATGCGTCCAAGGACAAAGGAGAGGACCTGGATTTAATGTGCCTCGCACATGTGAGGAATCCAGGAAGTCTGAGACCTGTGCATGGCCTCGCCGCTGTCCCCCTGGGCCATCCATCAGTGGTGTGCACACAGTCTGCTCAGGGCTTGCCGGGGAGAGTGATCCAGCCCCTTTACTCTGGGTCTCACATGCGGAATCGTTCCTAGGAAGAGAAGACAGTGGCTTTCCCTTGGAGACCCTCTGAGCCATGCCAGGGTCTGCAGTCACATTTCACCATCCCGATGAAGTGAGTGACAGGCCCCTCCCGCCCTGAAATGGGTTGAGGACGGAGGACTTCCCGAAGCCCCAGAGAGGAGGAGGAGTAAAGGCAGTGGTGGGGCTGGGAGGGGCTGGCCCTCACTGCACCCCATGTTTCTGATGCCTCTCAGCAACCGCAGTGGGGCCGCCAACATCACAGTGGATCCAGCCACTGAACGAGCTGGCGTCGCACACTCGGGGTGCAGAGTATGGCAGGTGTGCAGGTGGGTTTGCAGCTGAGTGAGGAGGCCAGGCACTTTCATCAAAGGATTTCGAAATGTAGTGGCAACACTCAGCTCTGCAGGTAAGAGCAGGAGCACACGATCCAAAACACGGGGTTTTCCAGAGGCAGGAGCTTTCTCTCCTGCCAAAGAGCCAAATCCCGTGCCATGTCCTCTCCATGGAGTCATCTCTGTGCTTCATCCTCACGCCGGTTCACTGGAGCCAGCTCACACGTCCTGCAGTCTTCCCTGAGCCCTTGAACTTGAGCTGATACCCCTCCTGCCGTCTCCCCCATCACAGCCCCTGTCATGTTATAATGCCGAGTCTCACTGCACCGTGTCTGTCATTCCACTGCCCTCCCTCGGCCCCCAGAACAGTGCCTGCCAGAAGCTGCGTGAAGGGCTGACTGAGTCCGTTCTCATTGGTTGGAGTCTGGAGGTAACTTGAGTTTAGCAGCAAATGGGGACTTTAACTGCAGAATTATACGTTGCCCAGTGCGGGATTCCCCACTGCGAGGGGTCCTCACAAGAGCAGGTGATAGGGAACAGTGAGGAGGAGCAGCTGTATATTTCGGTTTCGCCCTCCCCTCTCTGGCCTGCCAAGCTCACTCAGAACTTGTCTTCGAGTCAACAGAGCCTTTTCCTGGAGAATTGTCCGTTTAGGGTAGAACTGCTTCCTCCCCTGCCACTCTTTAACATGTGGAGAGGCTGTGCCACCCTCCCAGGGCCCCAGTTCCAGCACCCCTGGAATTTGCCATCCACCCCTCCGAGCCCGCCCAAGTCCCATGCCCCCAGCCCCAGCCTCCTCAAGTGCCCTTCGCAGGGTGAAAGGATCCGCAGGGTCTTAGTGTTCTCCTGTGCTCTCTGCCCCCTGCAGCGGTCTCTCAGCCTCTCCCAGTGCCTTCCTAGCTCTGTCCCGGCTCCCACCTGTGTGTCTCCTTCAGTCCCACTTGTTTGTGACCCCCCCCCCCACAGTGGAGGTGCGGCGGACACAGCCACATGTAATTGGGGGTGGAGGAGTGATTGTCACCGCAATGCTTGCTTGGAGTTTTAATTAGCCTTCCTTTCCTCACTTTCCTTTTTAAAAATTTCCCCTCCGGCTCAGCAAGTCCACTTAGAACACATTTTAGAAATTGGAACGTTGCTTTAACATTCTGCACCCAGCCCCTCGGTGTAATAAGTAAATCAATAAGCCAATTGCTTCCAGTAGTTTGATTTCCCAGTGCACTGGCGTACCTTTTGTTCTCCGGTGACTGATGATTTCACACCAGGGAACTAGGGGCAAGTGTGGGTGTATGGGGCTCGTCCTTGGTTCTGATCCGCAGGCTGTCCTGGGAAGTCCTGGTTCCCAGCGACACATGGAGCCACAAGCAGCCTGCCAAACGCTCGTCACCCTTCCCTCTGACACTTTCCCCAAGGTGTGTATCTCGCAAATACCTTGCCCGCTTGCCGGAACAGTCTTGGGTGTGTTTTGCATCTGACAGGTCTCCCAACACCACACTCTTAAATCTTACTGACGTGATTTATACAAAAATGTGTCCCTCAGAGGAAGAACTGGATCCGAGTGATGAAACACCAAGACCGACACCATCCACGTTAATTATGATGATCTTACTGTGAAGCACTTTTCGTGGTAGAACCGCCCTCTACGTAGTGTTTCTGCCAAAACCTTTGCTGGGAAAACTCTGCAATGGGCAGGCTGTCATTTCTAAAGATGCAATTACTTATTTCGTAGTGTGTTTCAGCCACAACGTGGTCGCCCTTTGTTTTAAGCAATAGGTATGAAGTTGTTTATAAACTGAATTTCTATAGATAACTCACATGTTCAGTATATACCAGGAGCTATTGTTTTACTTTGTGGGTTCTTTTATAATTAGAAAAATGACCCTCAAATCTTTTTGAGAAGTATAATGCTCATGTGTTAGATCTTGTGTAAACGAAGTAATTTAGATTACTAATGTTCTTCTACTTACAATAGTCCTGGCTTAGTTATACCCCACTATGTCCCAATAGGAGGTGGCAAATTTTGTAAATTCTGCATTTCTCATTGCTGTTCAAGATGCTCCTTCAGGACAAACTGTCCCTGTCCTTGCTCTTTCTCGTCTCCCTCTTTCAGGGAAGAAAGTGGAGTGCCTGCTCAGACCCAGGACTGTGATGTTCCGCTGCAGTATCAGGGAATTTATTAAGTCTCGTGGGCCTAGATTTCTACGATTCTGTGTCTTCTGGCTATTTCTGTGTAACAAACCACCCCTGCATTTAGTAGCCCCAGAAACTCATTATTGTTTCTCATCGTTCTGTGGGGTTCCGGTCAGCTGCTTGGTCCTCACCTGGTCCTCCCACGTGTGGTTGCAGGCCACTGTGGGCTGGGCTGGGGTTGGCTGCCCGACTGGGCTGGGAGGCCAAGACGGCTCATTTACATGAGTGGCAGAGGCCGGCTGTCTGCCGAGAGTCCTGCTGGGCTCCACAGAGCACCTGTATGTGGCCTCTTGTATGTCTCATTCTTCTCGAAATGTGGAGGCTGGGTTCCAAGGGACCTGGCAGAAGCTGCAAGGCTTCCTGTGCCCTTGCCTCAAAGTCCCAGACATCACTTCTGCCAGTCTCTGTGGGCCAAAGCAAGGGACTAAGGTCAGTCCAGATTCAAGGTGAAGAGAATTAGGCTTTGCCTCTTGATGTGAGCTGCAGGATACAGATGGGGTCCGTTTTTCAATTTCCATAGTGTGCATCAGAAGAAGAGTGTTCTCTAGGGGAATGAGATTAAGTAAATATGAAAGGCAGGAGAGGTACCGTGATGCAGGGGAGGGAGCGTATGGAATGACTAACATGTACGGATGAAGGACGAACTGGGCTCACTGGCCGGGCAGACTCAGTACTAGGGAGCACACCCTGAATGAGCCTTTCTCCATGGGAGCCAGGCAGCACCCACAGAGAGAAACATCCCCATGCACTGGCCACGGCCCTAAATTAGCCCACTCCTATGACAGATGACTGAGTCACAACACAGCAAGGGAATTTAAATAGCGACGTTTTAAAGGCGTATTCACCTAAAAGCTCCCTCATGCATGTATCCTACTCACTGGGAGTCAGTAACACCATCTCCATACACTGGAGCTGCACGGTACTCACAAACACATAAAGAACGTGCATCAGCGTGTCTGCTACCTTGTTTCTCAGCTCACGCGGTAGGAGTGCTCACAGAAGACTGTGCCCAAGGGGTGCTTGTATACTTAGAACCCCACTTTGCTTGTTTAAGAAAAGGTCAAGTTCTGGCCAGGTGCCTGAAAATCTGATTGCCTTTGTAGCCCGAATCAGGGAAACAGCTGTCCTCTTCATCGTACCGCGTCACGGGCCCCTGGGTTCCCTCCGTGGAGGGTGGCTGCTCTGTGTACAGGGAAGGCAACTGCCCTAAGGGTGGTCAGGGTGGCTTTTCACCCTTGTAGCTTTGTTTCTTTCCCCCTCCATACTCCTCTCTGGCTCCCCGAGGACTCAAATTTGTGTCTTATCTGTGCTGAAAATTTAGAGTCCAGATAAACAACGTTTCAAGCTATTTATAACCAGAGGCCATGCTTTGTATTAGACATACGTTAAGTGTTGGTTGCTGGGAAAGGTGGGAAGAATACCCCCAGGTGTGAAAAGCAGATATGTAGAGGTTGATAGAAGTTTAACCCAGAATATGTCTGCGTGGGGTTAGTACTCTATTGATTTGGGATGTATGTGCCTGTGGAATGCTGAGCCCTTAGGACCCTGGAGGTACCATTTATATGGGGCCAATATTTTTATCGGAACAGGAAGAAATTTGGCAAGGGCAAGGAACACGGAAGAGGTGTGGGCGAGAGGGTGAGGAACGGGGCCGCCGTACAAACATGAACTCAGGAGAGTGGACAGATCACGCGAGGAGACGGACTCCTCCCTTGCCCGACTTCATCCACGTAGATCATCCCACGCAGAGGAGACTCCTGTTCTTTGGTTCGATGAACAGTCCAGGCCCTCCCTGTAACAGCTGACTGCAGATCCACCGCTCACCTTCCTTCCTCGCTTCTGTTGGCTCTGAACATGGACAGAACTCCTCTTACGTGCCAGACACGGTGTTACGTGGAGGGACAAAACGCATGAACTCCTGCTGGGAAACACACCGTAAACAAGCAAATGAATAAATAATTCGGGATTGGGGCCAGTGTTTTGGGAAGCTGGGGGTGTGCTGAAGAACACAGGGGTCCCGTTTGGGTTAGGATGTTCAGGAGGTAACGTGAACGATCCCAGAGTCGCTGGTTAAACTTTGACATGCATATGTAGCATTTTTAGGTGTCTCAAATTGCATGTTGTTATGGCTGAAATTAAAACCGTTGTTGCCTTTGCTGAGCCCAAACTGTGGGATGAGCCACATTTCTGGGGAGCAGGGGAGCGACCCAGCGGCCAGAGCCCTCCTGATGACAGGTTCCTCATTCACCCCTCTCTCTCCTCAGGGAAGGGAGACGTGTTTGGAGATGTGTTCTGGAAGGAAGCCACGCTCGCCCAGTCCTGCGCCAACGTTAGGGCCTTGACCTACTGTGATCTGCACGTGATCAAGCGGGACGCCCTGCAGAAGGTGCTGGAGTTCTACACGGCCTTCTCCCACTCCTTCTCCCGGAACCTCATCCTCACCTACAACCTGAGGAAGAGGGTGAGCTGGCAGCGTCTGTTCCCTCCCTACCAGGAGCAGCCCCTGTGCACTTTGGGTCCCCCCGTGGGCTGGGAAAGTCCTTTTGTGGTTCATTGAAGTGGAGCCGTTGGTTCTGTTCATTGCTTGCTCTTCAGAGCTTTTGCTGTGCAATGAGGGAGATGGGAATGTTACCAGGTTAAAAGATGGATCTATTTCAGAGCTGAAGAGATTCATTCATGAGTGTGTCTCTGGGCTTTCCCCCAACAATACGTAGACCTGTAATAGTTTAAAAAGATGATGACACATGAGATCATTAGTCAGTGAAATGGCCAAGTGGGGCCACTTACTATAAACTGAATTCTCCCTGGTGTCTGGGAGCGGCTGAGTGGTGTGAGAACATTATCCAGTGGGCAATAATAATTTTTTAAAAGATATGAAAATAATATAGTTGGATGTCAAAAATAAGGAACATATGGACTATGATAGCCTAGAGAATATTTTATATACAAATGCCAATTTCACCGGCTAAGGAACAGTATTAGTTTTGAGAACCAAAAGATTTCTTACCTGGAGTTGGTTCCTTGCACCTTTAAATCATCAGAATTGTTCCGTCTGACTGTGGGGTTTAAAATATTTGTCTTGTACTCTAGGTTTTCACAGTTGATTTTCTTGTACTGTATTTAACTCTTTTAGTTAAATCAGTAACGAGGTAGCTCGGGGTCTACTGAAATCATCTAGAAGGATTGTCATAGCAATCTTGCCAAAAAAGACTTTATAGTCTTTTTCCCCCAAGGTCCCTGTCTCTGTTAACACTGTTCGTATTGCCCCGAGGTTCCAAGTCAGAAAGCCTGGCACCACTGTGATCCTTCTCCCTCCCAGGCCTCAGGCCACTTACTCATCAGATCCTGCCGGTTCTACCTCAGCTCTGGGACCCCAGCCCACGCCACGCTTCCTCCTCGGGCTCTCCCGGGCTTGGGACACAGCAGTGCTGACACCGACCCTTCCCGTGTCCTGGACGGTGCCTTGCATCTGTCCTCAGTGAGGTGCTCTCTCTTCTGGTCCCGTGAGTGACCTTAGAAACTAATTAGATCCCGTCACTCCCTCTGCGAAGATTGTTGCTCCCGCTCTGTTGCAGGGTGATGCCTGCACCCTCTGGCCTGGCTTATGTGGTTTTTCACACCTGGCCCAGACTTAGCCCCCACGCCCTCCGCAGGCACCCTGAACATTCCCACCCAGAGGACTCCCCCCAGCTCTGCAGCCACGCTGTACCCTGGCAGAGCACCGTGCCTCTGCATGGGCTTCCTGGGCCCGGGATTCTTTTCTTTCCTTCTGTGTGCCACAGATACTTCTTCACCTTTAAGATTCTGCTGAAATGTTTATTTGTTCATTCATCAAACCCAGGACATACCAATTGAACTAGATAGACACCTAAAACTGAGTAACACTCCGTTCCCTGTCTCCAGGAAGCTAGAGTCCCCTACAGGAGACAGCCACAGGAAGCATAGTGCAGTGCACGATGCTAACTAAGTATCGTGAGTGTGACTTGTACGGAGGGTTGGGGGAGCACAAAGGAAGAGGGCAGCTAAAGGGGCCGTTGAGAGAGTATCAGGGGGTGATACCTGAGCTGAGCCTTAAAAGATGAGTTTGCTAAAAAAGGAGAGGCAGCAGGTGTGCCAGTGGAAGGGGCGGTTTGAAGCAAAGACACAGAGAAAGGAAACAGTCTTCCAATCCTTTGTAAAAGATTCTAAATGCCTGTCATTGGGTTATCCCAACAGTAGGCTCCCAAGTATTTTGAATCTCTTGACGTGAAAGCCTTGTGAGTCTCTGGTCAGAGACCTGAGTGGGTAGGGGCTTGGTGAATTGGTGTCCCCAGTGCCTAACCCAGTACAAAGAAATAATAAACTTTTGGGGATGACCAGGAGAAAGCGATGGGAGCTCTGGGCCTCAGTTTCCACGTCATAACATATGACATTGTAACTAGATGTTTTTTTTTATGGTTCTGTGATTTGAATGCTGGTCATTTAAATTCCAACGGGGAATTGGCAGGGGTGGAGAAGAGAGAGTATTTACAATTCTTCCTTATTTATCTAGAAACATGGAAGGCTTGCTGTGGTACTTTTAGCCAAGTAGATTCTCTTAAAGTCTATTTTTTATTTATTCCTTCTTTTTATGAAAGCAAGTTGATTATAATTAGCTTTCAGCGTTGCTAATAATATCGATTGAAAATGTGCAGTTTGGGTTATTTGGAGGAGTAATCATCTTCAAATAATTGTAGATCTAATCTGTCTTAAAAAAACAAGGGCAACAGCAAGAACACCCCCTCGGTGGTCAGATGACTGACAGCTCTGGAGAAGAGAAGACTCCGGGCTACAGTTTGGAAGGGTGTGGTGGAGGAGCTCGAGGCATGGTCTGTAGGGCCACAAAGTGCAGAGAAAGAATCAGAGCTGCAGATAGTGTAAGAAAGACCTTGGGAAAGTTCCGAGCTGCCCGATCAATGCAATAGGCAGCTTCAGTGATATCAGCCTGCCTGTCCTGAAGGTATTTAGGCATTCTCCTAGGTGCCCCTCAGAGACATGTGAAGGGAGTTAGGCACCTGGTGAAGAGTCTTGTTAGTTGACCTTGAAATATCCTTTCAGTTGTAATTGCCAATGAGTCTGCTGTGGATGCAAGAGAATTTGAGTGAGATCCTTTTTGTAAAGAGGTAGCCATTCATTCTCTTGGAAAAAAAAGAGGCTTGTCACGTTGGTATTGCCATTGTAGTCTCTCACTGTGCCCTTCTGAGAATTAATTTATAGTTACATAGGGCATAGATGATGAGAACATTACATGCATGAATTATCCTTGTAGCTAATTTTTTTTTCTGGCAGAGTGAAGTGCATTCTTATGGTTGTTTCTATCTTGGCAAAATCGAGTGTGTTACTTGCGAAGATTCCTGAGAACGCAGTGCCTTCGACATCTGTTTGGGGAATTGTTGGGTGTTGTGGGCCTCCTCTAGCACCCAGTGGCAGCTCAGCACCGGAAGGCCCTCTGTGGCCGTCCAGTCTCTCCTGCCGTCCCCCCTCCCTCCTTTCACACTGGGTAGTAATGAGCGAGCTCTGACTCAGTGGCCAGACTGCTCTCTGCTTCCCACCGCTTCCCGGCCCACGCTGGACTCTATATCTAAGCCCCTGCCTTACATCCCTAAATCCGTGTGCATAAAACCCAGCTCTCAGCACTGCTCTGAAACCCAACTCAGAAAAGGAACTGTTGCCTGACCCCATTTCCCCCAAAGAACCTGAGGTCATAGGCAGGCAGACCCTGGAGGCCATTCAATATGCTGCTGACCTTCAGTTTTCCTTGCCGGTGGGTGCTGAGCCAGAGGAGGCCTCGGTCTGCACCCTCACTGTGCCACTTAGCGCTGCCGTAAGTTACAAGTGCTTCCTCGCCTGTAAAACGGGAACAATGAGAAGTCCTACCCTTGCAGGATAATTGTGAGGGTTACATAATGCTTATGAAGCTCTTTCCCACACAGGGTCTAGCACATAGTACGTGCTCAATTCAGTTGTGGGTTATTATGATCTTGTTCTGTCCACTTGACACCCTATTCCACTCCCCTCTTTATTATCTCGTGCCTTTTGGAAAATGAAAAGAAGGCAATTCCTCTGACTTTGTTTGTACAGGGTACTCACTCTGCCGAATGGATGTTCTGTAGGGTGGATTTTATCACGGGATTCTCTGCACCTCTCGCAGCCAACGCGGGGCCAGCTGATCTGGAAAGCGGACGTGGTGCTGGCCTCACTGTCACGTTGAGCTCCTGCTGGGGAGCAGTCAGCACTCACCCTCTTTTTGGCCAGTTCTGTTCACGGAGGGGAAAGTTCGGCTGTTCCGGCATCTCAGGTCAGTCTCTAACGCACCAGGCTTTGCCAAGAGGAAAGCACCTCTTCTTTCTTCTGGGGCAGGTGGCCTGTGGTTGTCCATGACAATGAGGGGAAGTGGCGCCTTCTTCCTCCCAGACCCTTGGCTCTCTAGGGCGCCAGGCTCTCCTGGCATTTTCCTCCAGGCCCCACATCATTTTCTATCTATAATCAGAGCTTTGTACACTATTAATATAACATTCTTACCAATTCCCGGTACCATACAAGCTACGTCACAACGTCAGTGCACGCTTTATGTCAGCTTCTTAAGTCCTCGACAGCCTCGTGGCATTAGAGAAGCAACCCCATTTCCCGAGGGAGCAGACTAGGACCCTGTGGAGAAGGGAATCAGTCTTCCGAGGTCACCCAGCTGATAAGTGACACCCTGCATGCACCCCTCTTGTTAGGCAGTATAGTGCCCCATGCTCAGCCTCCGTGAAGAGTGGCTCTCAGCTTTTCCCACGTCGGCGTTCCCTGGCTTCTGCTTTCTCCCGGGCCGTGACGTTTCAGAGTGGCACAGGTAGTCTGCAGAGAGAGCATCTCCAATGGCCGTTTCCACGCACCAGCACACCAGACACTTGTCCAGCAAAGCCACAGGAAAGCCCAGGTGGGGACACAGGAGAGGTTTCCCCTTCTAGGCACAGGCACACCCTGCCATGTGTGCTGGGGAGGCATGACACACCTCACTTCGGTTGGGCAACGGGTGAACCCAGCTGTGACATTAGTAACTTACCAGGAAGACCACTGGCTTTGGCACTAAGGACCTGGGTCTGAGTCCTGGTCTGACTGTGGACTGGCCGTGTGCCCTCAGGCCAGTTACTGAACTATTAGAAGCCTCATCTGCAATAAAGGTCTGATAAAATTTCTTCATTAGGTGTGCTGTGATCACATATATTCAAAAATAAGACATTAAAAGTGGCATACACCCGTGAGAACCACTCACTACATACACATTGATTTCCCTCTCCTCCCACTGCCTGTCCCCGCCCTCCACCTTCAGCCTCCTCCACCCTTGGACGTCCCAGGTCATGCGTTGCTCCCATTTGCTTACAACCAGATCCTTTCTTTCCTGGGTGTTTCACTTGGGCTCCACTTTCCTTTCAGCCTGGGACGAGGTTTCATTCCCAG